TTTATGTCAAGCATGTTGCATTATACACAAACATTCTACTGATCAGCTTTGATGTTTCCTTGGGAGGAGAGTGTTTTTGTAGCTCATGCTGAAAGGTCTAACATTTATCTTCATCTGAAGCATAACTTCTTCAAGTCGAAAATTAGCTATCTTGTTTTCCTGGAGAATATGCCTAACTTTTGTCTTTTCTCCTTTAGTTGTTTTTTTCTCCAATATTTTATAGCCAAAAATGGTTTGCTTTCTACTCTGGACTTTTGACGTTTCTTTATTTTTCTACGGTTTCAGACTTCCATTGGTATCAACAGAGTTAGAGATTTCCAGCTAAATGTCTTCCAAGGAGGAGGTTGGGGAGAGTCGTGCACATGTTGTATATAATGGGAGTGCTTCTAGAATCAATGAAATTGGGCTTCAACTTTATCCAGTTTCTGAGTATGACTCTGGCGGAGGCTTACCATATGCTCCTGTAGATTGGCCAAATACTGGTGACAAGTGGGAATGACGGGCAGGGAAACGAATTACAAGTTCAGGAGCCTTTAAAGATAGATATCTGTATCTTCCGAAGCATTTTAAGGCTCCAAAAGGTGGAAAGAAAAATGTTTTTCGTAGTAAGATTTCAGTTAAAAAGTATCTCCAATATGAGTATCCTGACATGGATATAAACCAATTTTTTGCCTCATTTAGTTGGATGATTCCTTCGAAGCAGTCGCCAAGCTCAAAAGGTTAGCTTCGACAAGGCTCTTTGGTATATATCATGTAGATATTTATTCGGTTGTTTGCATCAATAAAAAAAAACACTTACCACATTTTTTATTGACCTAATGCCAAATTTGTTTTCTTTTTAATTAGATATTGATTTTGACTCAGATATGAAAGAGAGGAGTACATCTTCAGGGACAAAATTGCAATATTTACTGTCTGATTCTCCTATAAGAGCCATTACTTGTAAGGCTGGTAACAAAATCTGTAGTAGTTTAACAGTAGAAAATCCTTTTCCGGCCATGCTTTGTGATATCTGTTGCAGTGAACCTGGTTTTTGCCGAGACTGTTGCTGTATCCTTTGCTGCAAAACTATCAGTTCGGACTATGATGGGTACAGTTACATTCGATGTGAAGCAATAATAGAAGGCTACATATGTGGACATGTTTCCCATCTAGACTGTGCTCTACGAGCTTACATGGCTGGGACAGTTGGAGGAAACATCAATTTGGATGCACAGTATTTATGTCGATACTGTGATTCAAGGCTGGATTTGGTTCCACATGCTCTGAAGCTTTTAAACACCTGCACATCTGTTGCTTCTCGTGCTGACATCGAAAAGATTTTGAATGTTGGTATTTGTATATTACGTGGCTCACAAAAAAGAAGTGGAAAAGAATTGTTGCATCGTATTGAATCAATCAAGGCAAAGGTATAACTAATTGATGAATTGTACTTTTTTTCCTTATAATGCTATCTTTTTTCCATTTGAGGTTTACAGTTACCTGAATGACCAATTTGATAATCATATCAGCTTATGAAAGGAGTCTGCATTCAAGATACATTCAAAAAGGAAAGTTGTGTGGATAGCACTGGTAACTTCTCTGCCCTCTCATCATCTTGTTTGTGTTGATCTGTTACTTTGACTTGAATATTTGTATCTGAGCAAGACATTTCAGTATGTGCAAATGTGGTTCTCTTTTTATAAGTATTGTTTATTTCAGCACACAAATATATACATTTGTTGATTTTTTTCAAGGTAACTACCCTATAGTTTAGACGATTAGATAAAAAAACATATTATATAAGGTGTAAAGAGATAAAAGACACAATTGATACAAAGATTTTTATACTTGTTCAAATCATCGATATGTTGCCTAATCCAGTCCCCTTGGTTTCCTTAGAGCTTGAATGTTTCTGATTAGACAAATAGCCTATTGTGAACTCCTTGATATGAAAGATTACAATTCACTTGTTGGTAACATCCTCTACTCGTATAGTTTTCTCATCTCTCTTTTTCTTTTCTTTTCACTAGTTAACTATATTAAATACAATGTTTTTACAAGATGAAACAGTGACTAGGATAAGCGTGTGCTAACTTGTTTCCATCTTTAGAAAAGTCATTCTTCCTTGATGAAAATCAATCTTCCTTGATTATGATAGGGTGTGCTTTCCTTCTAGTAGGTTGCTGACTCGTCTTGATTTCATTTTTATGCAAGTCAATATCCTCGATTCTGGTACAATCGTTTATCAATCTTCCTTAATTCTGGTAGTGTGTGACTTCCTTCCGTGTTTAGATTTATGCTTTGTTTTCACAGGTTTTGGATGTATCTTTTTTTTTTCCTGCACAGATCATTTAGGATTAGTGTCATCATTACAACATAAAGTTAATAGAGCTAACAATACATTATTTGGTTCCGTCAACATTTGAGTTCTGAGCATCAGATGGGAATTTCGTTAGTTTCATTGCTTCCAGAACGTCGAGTTTGAGCTAGTAGAGTGGTTGGTAAGGTTTTCGAGGCCTTAGGTTGAGAGTTGGCCGTTTAGGCGAGAAGTTGATCTTTAGGTCTAAAGAAATGTCCAAGTGGGTATTTTTGTCTAAATGATCTTTTTTTTTTTAAACTCCAAAGATTTCATTGAGTCCAGAATGTCGAGTTTAGTAGGGTGGCATCTTTCATTTATTTTTATCGGGTCTCAAATAAATCTTAAGGGTTCATTTTGAGATTTTAATAAGTTGGAGATTATATTGTGTTGCTCGTGTGGGGGTTGATTATATTGTGTTGCCTGTGTGGGGGCATAGATGTGTTGCTTAACCTATGTTGAGGCCTTAATTGTTGTTCTATTTGCTTTGACAACATGTGACTCATGAGTTGCATATGATAGAGGCTTGTAATGTTATTTGACCTGTAATGCCCTAGTGAGGGACTTAGTTGGAAACATTATAATGCTTTGAGTAAATGAAATGCTTTCTAAATGGAATTCACTTATTTCAAATGAACTCTTTCCCACTTTTTTTCATATGAGGGTGTATATCATGATTCAACTGAGTTTTGAGAAATTTAGATTATTGATACATGTTGAGTTGATTATTGCCTCCATGTTATATATGTATTGTGATGCATCCATCCTCATTCATCATATCATGTTCTTGGGAAATTGAGAAAAATGTGGAGATTCCTTTTGAGAAATAAAGTGAGACACCTTTTTATATCCTTGACCACGCTAAGGTGGCAAGTTGATGAGATATTGAGATTGTGATTTGGTATATGAATTGCGAGTCCCCCATGGGTCCTTGTCTGGAATCCTTAGCTCGACAGGGTGTATATGACAAGTTGTGCGACAACTTTGATTCCATCGTACCACCCACATAATTGCATCATCTCATTGCATTGCATTAATCATTTGAGTTGCTTGACTTGTGTGTGTTATGGGAATTGTTGTGACCTTATGCGTTCACTTTAGTCTCGCCGTTCATTATAAATTGGCGGCACTAATGCCGGAGTGGGACTTTTTTTGTATCCAGGTGGAAGCGCTCATTAGTTAATTTATAAGTTGATTAATTCCTTTTGCTCAGTTGGCCAAGCCTAATGAGTACTTGTGGGTTGTTCTCACCACTACTTTTGAATCATTTTTTATGCAGATTCTGGTTAGGGTACTCCTCACGGTGGCTGATCATTTCTAGCTTTGGAGATCTTTTCGGAGTGGTGGTGCGATCCTGTTTTTGGATCACCATTAGTTCCATCTGATATTTTTAGTCTTAATTTCTTATCGGAGACTTATGATGTGTTTCATACTCTAAAGTTGTATTAGATGCTCTTTATACTTATGCTACCTGGTTTTGGGATATTCTTTGTTGTTCTTTTCTATTGTTTGTGGCCTGACCACCCTTTTGGAGTCTCGTATGTGTGTTGTTTTTGGCTTACACACTTTTTTGGGGAGGGGGGGTTGGTTGGAGTGTCTGTCATCATAACCTCGACTTTTGGATCGTGACAAAATGCCTTTCAATTTACAGGGGGACATATTTCAAGATACTCGAACAATCTTATCTCCAATTCCACCTGTCATTATTCCTTGAGAAGAGCATATCTTGTATTGTTTATTTAAAGTAGAACAAATACCAAAACTCCATTCTAACTATTGAATTTATTTTAATTCTCATATCCAACTATACCTCACTTTCATTTGGATGCAAATAACGTCAGTAAAATATGAAATATTAAATATTGAATAATTGCAGGTAGAGGTGTTCACGGGTCGATTTGGATCGGTTATTGGTAAAAATCAAAATCACACCAGATTAATCGATTTTAAAATTATCAAAACCAAACCAAACCAAATATAATAGACATTTATCGATTCAGTTGTTATCGATTTGGTTTGGTTATTTAGTTATTAACCATAAAAAATAAAATAAAATAAACAATTCATTCAAAACGTGATAAAGGTGACAACAATCCATTCAAAACCAAAAATAGTTAGAATGATTGACATTATAGAAATTTCAATCATTGAATTTACTAAGAATAAAGCTTTAAAATTCACCATTTTGGCCTAGTCTAGAAGGAAAGGACAGTGACATTTTCAATCCCAGAAAGAATTGTCATAGACACTGTCATAGTCCAAACCATATTCTTGTTTATATACTTGAGCTACTAGACGAGCTTTGTACCTCTCCAATGTGCCATCAAACTTCATTTTCACAGAATAAATCCATTTGCTCCCAATAATAGAAGCTTCAGCCGATTTAGATATCAAATCCCATGTATGATTTTCTTCTAAAGCCGAAAGTTCCTCTTCCGTTGCCTTTTTCCAACAGTCATGACTTGATGCCTGTTGGTAAGTAGTTGAGACAAAAATAGAATTCAAAGTTGCAAGTAAGGCATACGACGGACCGTATCTACTTGGAGAGTATCCATATCGATCTGGGGCAGATGTTTTACGTTCAGAGTGACAAAGAGAAGGAATGGAAGAATTTATTTGGTCACTTAGAGTTCGGGGGACCTGGAGCATCGTTTCTATGGATATGGCTGATGAGAAATGGGGAAAGATAAAGCCCCCTTGCTTTGGAGAAGAAGATTTTGGTTTTAAGCTAGGAGTGTTGGGAAATAACCTTTATGTACTTAGTATGAACGTCCTCCTCACTCGCGTAAATATATGGGTTAAGGAGGAGTATGGGGTTAAAGAGTCCTGGACAAAAATGTATACCATAAAGTGTCTCAACGATCTTGACAAGCATTTTCTTTACCCATCATGTTACATGTCAAATATAGGTGAGACTCTGCTTGTTTATGTAGCACCTAGAATGATACAGAATCAAGAGGATACACCATTTGTTATCAAAAAGATATGCGATGATCCGATTAAATATGCAGAGGTTACTAACTTTGGTGCCCGTTTGTCAAATGAAATCTACATTGAAAGCCTTGTCTGTCCGCTTTCACAAAACCAACAAGGATTAAGCAACAATGAAGGTTGCAGGTGCTCAGATGAATTACAATTGTGTAACTTATGATTTGTAAGTTTCTACTTAATACATGTCTCGCAAGTGCAGTTCAATTCTTCTTCTATTGTCAAATATAGAAAAATACATTGCATGTTTAAGGTTCTTTTGGATACAGCCTCTACCTTCTCAAAGGTAGGGGTAAAGTCTGCATACATACTTCTCTCCCTAGACCCCACTTGTGAGAATACACTGTGTTTGTTGTTCCTACATTGCATGTTTAAGGGACATCATCACACAAGGTCTGGTTGAGATCTTCTCTTGTCCTTTTTCTTTTTGCATATTCTATGAAACAACCTTTTTTAGAACATTTATTTGGTTGTAGAATTTGGTGTCTTCAAAACTCAAAAACTAAATAATGTTGGAAATTGACTCTCTTTTCAAGCTGCATTTTAAGGGAATGAGACATATCCTTAGTGTGAGTGACATGAAAATCATGCCAGGTGAATGCTCGAATAAAACTAGGCATAGCCATTGCCGGGATTATGGTTTGATGTAGGATCTTCATTACTAGTGCTCTTTAAAATACCGTTAATAGGGAAAAGGAATCATTGAATAAGAGTCTGTGTCTAGTATAGTATCTAACTTCAGTGGTTTTCCTTGTGCTAATAGCTTAATATCTTTTCTTCATTTTATTTATTTGGTCTGCCAATGGTCAAGAGTTCTTTGAGTTTAACAGTAACTCGAATCTGCAAACTTGGTTTGATGGAAAAAGCAATTGAGGAAATATTTGGATGTTATGAATTATGGTCATGAGACTAGTGTGGGAGGTTATGTACCAGTATTTGGATGACGGTTAAAATGTTTGTCATCTCTTTTATTTCTATCAAAAAGGTTCCTACTATATTTTGTTCGTCTCTTGTACCTTAGTTTTTTTTAATTTTAATGACCCTTAAGGGGGTCAAGGGCTTAGCAACACCCCCAAGCTTTAGCATATAATAAAACAAAACAAAATAGACAAGGAGGGGGACATTAACCTAACCTCCAATCCTATGGTAGATCATATGTCGACTAGCCTAATAAGGCTTATCAACTTGACCCTAAAATCTATTGAAAGAAGCCTAGAACTATGTACCTAGAAGAGAGGACTCCTTTCAATACATATAAACTAGGAAATCATAAATAAGGGAGACTCTTCCCTTACAGTAGAGAAAAGAGCCTAACCAAAAACTAACCTCTTCCTAGAAGCTGATCAAATAAGGGAAGAAGTTGCACAAAAAAGGAAATGAACAAGTGATAACTTGTCCCAGGATACTGATCAGCCATCTTTTAGGGTGGTTTTTTGATCCTCTTCAACTTTTTCCTTCTGAGGCAGATGATGATAATTGTAAAAATGTTGAGTATTTTTCCTCAAATGACTGCTTTGAAAGAGTATCAACAAGGAAATTGGCCTCTCTAAAGACATGATTGCATTGAAAAAAATCAGTCATTTTAATCAAGTCTTGAAGTTCCATGATATTTTTGTAGATGCTCCAAGGAGGGGATACTTTCTTGCTTGCGCCATTTCACTAAAAGTTCATAATCTACTTCCAAAATGATCCTACTATACCCATGTTGAATACACCAATTCATCCCAAAGGCTGCAGCTATAACTTCTGCTTGATTGTTTGAACCCACACCTAAAGGTAGGCATAAATCAGTTTGCCTTTATGATTTCTCAGTATGCCCCCAGCTCCAATCCTACCTGGATTCTCCATAGCACTACCATCAGTATTTAATTTAACTATGGACTGATGAGGTTTCCACCAGTTTACTTGAGTGACCTTTATATCATGTTGGCAGTTCTCCACCAGAGAAATGAACTCATTCGAGTTGTTAGGCCATTTGATGGATGGATAAGTAGTGATAATAAGCATGTGAAGCTCCTTGGAGATAAAGAATTTGACTCTAGTTGTACTTGATTGTTTCCCACCATATTTACTAGCACACCTATTCTTCCAAAGGTTCCAGCAAATGAAAATGGGGGTGGCTTTCATTATGAGCTTGTGAATTTCATTGTTAGGTTTAGTAATCCACCAATTCATCAGCATCCTCCTCATAGGGGTTCTGCTATGTTGTACCCCCAGCCTGCTAGCAAATGGCTTAACAAATTTTCCAGAAATGAAAATATGATCAACATCTTCCTGGAATGTAACAACCTGAACAATTTGCAGTAGAGTGTCCAAAGGCACTAATTTTGTCATTTGTTGGGAGCTTGAGTCTGAGTGCTCTCCAGAATAAAAAGGAGACCTTGAAAGGAATAGCTTTATGCCAAATTAGGGAGTCAGTTAAATTCTTCTTCCTTTTCTTCCTCACATGCTCCCATGCTGAAGCACAAGTGAAACTCCCACTGGTAGTAGGTTTCTAGATGGCTTGATCTGGGATGTCCTGTTGCACTCTAACATTAGTATGGAGGATTTTATGAATGAGTTGTTGAGGTGCACACTGTCTTATTTTATCCTCATTCCACTCTCCATTAACAAGGTAGCTGGAAACTGTGACATTATTTAGACTGGGAAGGTAATCACTGTGATTTGCTAGAGATCCTACCCCCAGCCAGTCATCCCACCAAAAACTACAACTTCCAGAGTTAATAGCCCATTGAATGTGAGGTTCAACTTCCATCCTGTTAATGATCATATTCTTCCATATGAGAGATTGTCCAGAGTTCCATTTTTTAATGACAAGATTAGCTCTTTGACAATATTTGGCTTTGAGGAAGTTACCCCAAAGGGACTTTTTGGATCTGAAATTCCACCATTGTTTATAATGCAGAGATAAACACATATCGCCAAGATTCTTCATACCAATTCCACCTTCTTCACAAGGAAAACTTAGAGTTCCCCAGGATGCCTAATGGTATTTTCTTTTGTCCTTCTCCCACCCCCAAAAGTAGTCAGCTCCACCTGATCTGTTTGAGGGTAGTAGTCGTAGGACAACCCAAATATGTGATAGGCCCAAAAGTGTGACTAAAACCAGTAATAGCTTTAGTTCTTTCAATGATATCAGGAGGTAGTTTTTCTGGAATAAGTAGCTGATTCTTCTCCTTGTTGATAAGCTGTCCAGAAGTTGTTTCATACATCTGCATAGCATAATAAGCTTCAAAGAATATTTGCTAGTTGATGTGAAGATTATTATATCATCTGCAAAGCTCAAATGATTTACTTGAGGACCATTTCTTTCCATATGAAAGCCCTTATAGAGATAGTGTTGATGAAGATTGTTTAGCATCCTAGTGAGGACCTCTGCACCAATGATAAAGAGAGCTGAGACAGAGGATCACCTTGCTTGAGACCTCTTGTAGAAAGGAAAAAACCATGTCTAGAACCATTGATAATGATAGAGTACCAATTGTTTGACATAAGTCTCCAAATCATGTCAATGATCATTTCTCCAAAACCCATTCTTCTCATAACTAAACATGTATAGGACCAAGAAACCATGTCATAAGCTTTGGCCATGTCAAGTTTTATGACCACATTGTCTCCTGTCTTGGGTTTATTTATATTGTGAATAAGCTCCTAAGCTAGCATAATATTTTCATAAATACTACTTCCTTGAACAAATCCAGACTAGTTCTCAGAAATAAAACGAGGCAGGATGGGGGCTAATCTGAGATATAGCAGCTTGGAGATAACCTTGTTGGTGCCCCCAAGGTCTAGCTCAAGTGACAAAAGGTGGAGGATTTGTGGCTTAGGTTGCAGGTTCAAGCCCCACATCATGCAAAGCGAAGCCTGGTATTTAAGTGTAGAAGGGTAGAGGGGGGGGCCCATTATCCACCGAGTTTAGAAGGCTGTAATTGGTCTAAAGTGCAGATCAGACGGATTTTTCGGTTATCAAAAAAATAACCTTGTCGGTAAAATTACTGTGGAAGATAGGTCTGAATTTAGAAAACTTATTAGGATGATTCACTTTTGGAAGTAACACTAGGCAAGCATGCGAAATAAATTTAGGAATACTGTGGCCACAAAAAAATAGTTGTATCATGTTAAAGAGATCATCACTTATGATATCCCAGCTGGAATGGAAAAACATGCCACTCATTCCATCAGGAACAGCTGCAGAATTAGCACTCATTGACCAGATAGCCTGTTTCAGTTCCTCTTTTGTTGGCATGGCCTGGAGTTTTTGGTTTTGATACTCAGTGATCATGCTAGGAATGCATCTAAGGACTTCCTCATTGATCAGCTTATCTTCCCCTGTAAAGGTTTTCTCAAAATGACAACATGCAGCCCTTGCAATATTCTCATCACTGATTTTGTGGATAAACAACTTACTTCTCCTGCCTCTGATAATAGCATGTAAATACTTGGTGTTTGCATCTCCATCTTTAAACCACTGCAGCTGAGTTTTTTGTTTGAAGAGTGGATTGCTCAATTTTTAAGTATCTGATGCATTGAGCATTAATCTGATTGAACTTGGTTCTATATTCCTCATTGTTGTCATTGATGATATCTGCTTCAGCACTTTTAACCTTCCCCTCATACTCCTTAACACTGTTAAAAATATCTCCATATTCCTGTCTAGACCAGTTGCTAAGAGTATTGGCCACTCTTTTCAATCTTAGCTGAAAAATTCTCATAGGTTACCTTCATCTGGTCTTTCCCAGCAAGCTTTCACAATATCCAGAAACTTTGGATTGTCCACCCAAAAATATAGGAATTTGAAGTATTTGCTAGTATTGGTATTTATGTCAACACTTTCCGGAAGCAGGGGACAGTGGTCAGAACCAGTTGAGGGTAAGTGAGTGATATTAGACATAGGCATCACCTCTATCCATTTATCATTGACTATAGCTCTGTCCAGTCTCTTCCAAATTCTAGCTTCACCATCTTTGTGATTACACCAAGTGAATTTTTGTCCATGGAATCCCAAGTCAGTTAGTCCACAGGCTTCAATAACACTAATGAATTCAAAATTTTTATTCATGTTGTAAGGTAGTCCTCTCATCTTCTCATCAATATCATTGATCACATTGAAATCTCCTATAGTGAACCAAGGTTTGTCCGATCTAGAAAATTGAAGCATCTTGT